TGCAGTGCACCACCACAAGAGGTTGAGGTGAATAATATAAAAGCATTTAACAGGAAGCACATGAGAGAGAGAAAATATGCTGATTTGGTGAGATAAAAAAAGGACGAATGGAGGATCATAAACATCAGCAAGGATATGTCGGGCTGAATGGCCTGTTTCTGTCATGTAGATTTGATGTGTTCCCAACAAGGAGGCTTGCTTGAGAGGAACATATTTCTGAAATCTAATTACAAGAACAACTTTTATTGATTTTGCATGAAAATTTTAGTTTTGAATGTTTTTCTAAATTGAATGACGGATAAATTCTGAGCTGTGTTGTTGGAAGAAAACAATTCATTTCACACTCACAAAGCTCAGACTAAATATGAACTCGAGTAGTATGTACTCAGATTACATGCAACGTGTTATATATTTGAATCAGAAACCTTTTCATACCGTCCCTGACGGGGGCACAATTTATTATGCCTGTTTTAAAATGGTAAGAATATACATTGTATCTGGTTCTTGTATGATCTGAAAATATGGTGATGATTGGGCAGTTTGGGATCTTTGAAAACAAACCATCAGTTATAAAGCATTCAAATAGAGAATAAAATGTGGCGGTGAAATTATAAAAAGCATCTAGATAACAAATCTAATGAAATTCTCATTATTCTAAAATTATTCAGCCAAATATTTATGTAGAAAAATGTAGTGAAATTTCAAAATTTTTCAAATCAGCAAATAATTTAAAGAATTTTATTTGATAACGAGAACGTCTCTTTTTGAATCTGAAAATACATAGTCTCCTGTCTAACATACCTCAATCCTTAGACATGTTTCGTACACATTCGATTTAAAAAGACGGAATTAAAGAAAGAAACACAATTTAAAAGTGCTGGTACATGACCACTGTATAAACTGGCAACACAAGCTAATTATTTCACACCAAAGACAATTATAGACTGTGACGCTTGTGTATTAGTTTAGTGAAAGGGTCATTAATAAATATTGTCATGTGTGATCAAGGCTGCACAATATTAACCACAGCACAGCTAAACAAACAGGACTTGTATGCAACTTTCAGTACATTCTGATAAATTGGCAGCAACTAGCTGTAGCTTCGCTCAGTTAATGAGCCAACCTCTGGTTCAGGAGTTTGTGGATTTGAACTCCCAATCAGAAGGCTTGACATTGTTTAAGGGAACACACCAGTACAGTATTGAGGAGTTTCATATGGTTAACAGCTTCCTCCTTTGGGAAAATAGGCCCTGTAAACCTCTTCTGCTGTTATAGGCTTTATATTAAAGACCCAATTAAATGCTTCAAAGAGCAAATAGCTCTCTGAGTCCTGATCACTGTTCTTCCATCAGCCAATATCATCACAAAGAAATGTGTTAACTCCTCTTTAATGGTATTGCTGCTTATAGGATTTTGCTGAGTGCAAAATAGCTACTGCATTGCACAGAGGTATTGCAATTCAAAGTAATTCATCATGTAAACTGTTTGGAGATGTAGTAAGGGACTGTTTAAAAACAAGTATCCTTTTCCTCTAAATCCATTGAACTCAAGCCCAGATCCAATCCATCAAAAAGAATGAGGTGAAGCCAGTAGCTGTTGAGAAAACTTGGCTCAGTAATGAATTTTCCATTGTGTACAACTCAGGTTTCTTCAGAAATGTTGAAGTCTGACTTCTTACAGATTTGAACCTGATTTTACTTTAAGTTTATTGCAAACATAAGGGATATCCTCCCATACATTGTTAAAGTCCTAACCAAATGATTAGCCTGCGCTAAGTTGCAGAGCTCAGGAGCAGCTCCAATAAAAATGTTGAATTGAAGAGTTCAAGTGTTGCCTCACATTCAGTTTATTACTATCTGGGGTGACCTTTTGTGGTGCAGCGTTAGTGTCTTTACCTCTAAGCCAGGGGGCCCAGGTTCATGGCCTACCTCTTCCAGAGGTGTGTAAGAATTTCTCTGAACAGGTTTATTTTTAAAAAATCCTTTTATTACTTTCTGAAACTTAAGATCATATCATTGTCATTGCATTTCCTCCTACATTGAATTGATGCACATTGTGTGGGGTAATTATTTACGAGTTGTCTATGACAGCACTTCAACATGAAAAGAATTTGATAAGAATAGAAATGCCAGGAAATAACAACATCTCTATTACATACTTACATTTTACTGAAACCTTGATTATTATTCCTACTTAAAGCTCCCTCAATTTTGCAGCTGCTGACAATTCTTAAAGTCATGTAAGCAATACCAGAAGGAACTCTAAATATTATTCCATCTAAACTGTTTGCATAACAGAAATTTTCAACTATTTATAAATTAAGCATGTTCCATATGGACAGCAAATTGATCTTGATTCATAAAATACATTCACTTGTTGGAGACATCAACACCAGCTCTCCCAAATTTTCAGCCACTTTATCAAGTTTCACCTGATCCTGAGAGATCAGTTCCTAATCTGTGCTGAATTTGTTGACCTTGCTTGGTTGGTTGTTACAATGGACCTCTGTGTTCTTTGCTCAGGGAGAATCTAATTTTTGCCCTCAATTGCTGTGTAATTGTTTGTGCTGGAGTGGATCTGTGTGAGAATTAGTGAGGAACAATCTGACACATTTACAACTAGACGTTGACATTTAATTTTAAGACTTACTCATGAAGATTGCCGATGAGGTTGGCTGCTGGAAGGTGACCAGACCCGAGTGAGGAGTGCAAGCCTTTCTGCAAGGTGGAAGAGGAAATTGGCAAGAATACACTGAGAAGTATTTACTTCAATGTAGTGGGACATATTGCCATATTTGCTCAATATCACTCTTGCTACTGCCATGGCTGAAATCAGAGCACATCTACCAACATTCCACATTTCATAGAATCCCTACATTGCAGAAAGTGGCCATTCAGCCCATCAACTCCTTACCCACCCTCCAAAGAACATTCCACTCAATCCCAGCATCCCCACATTTCTAATGGCTAATCCATCTAATCTGCACATCTTTGCACTGTGGGAGGAAACCAGAGCACCTGGAGGAAGCCCACACAGACATAGGGAGAACATGCAAACCCCACACAATCACCCAAGGCTGGAATCAAACCTGGGTCCCTGGAGCTGTGAGGCAGCAGTGCTAATCACTGAGCTACCATGCCACTCTAAGACAGACAATCAGGGCTTGTCTGGGTTTTGAACCTGGGACCTCTCACACGTCTGCAACGTACAAGCCCCAAAGCAAGAATCACACATCTAGACCAACACACCATTGCCAACATTTGGCATCAATATCAACATTTACCAGATTAAACATTCATATCATTGCAAGGGAGTAGCTTGTTTTGTCTGCACTGAAAACATAAAGAGAACAGTGAGACAGCCTGGTTAGATAGCTCACAGGGGAAATTAACTTCCAACAATTCATTTCTGTGATCACTGAGAATTGTATTGATACCATGTTGATAATGTGACAAGCTTCTGATCATTTATTTCGGCACCGTTCAGTCAAAGGTGATGTAACTCTACTGAGATTTAACAGGATAGTTATACATGTTTTTGCAAGCGATGTACGATAGCATCTGGTCCAGAGATGTGATAAACTCTGACAGAATTATAAATTCCATCTCTCAGTGGACTCCGCCCTTTATATTTGCTGGTGCCTGGTGGTTCAATCAAGGACTGCGTGCCTATGGATCACTAGGAGACTGGAAGCAACCCAGCAAAGGGTCTGCTTTACCAGCCCCAGCAGACGCCCGCTCCCCCCCTTCCCACTATCACAGGCAAGCATCTGCCTACCATTGGATTGATACCAGAAGGAGCAAGTGAAGACCAGAGTTGGCAATGAGGTTGGAGTGCCAGTCACGGGGTTCATTGGGTGGAAGTGTAATGGTGGCAGGGTCCCCACACATCTGGTTAATAAAACCCCACCCCCACCCCATACCAAACCTGCCACTGGGGATGACATTAAATTCTGGCCATCATGTTTTTAAAGAAAAAGACTGTGTTTCGAATTGTGAAAAAGAACCACCTGTTATGGACCATTTTTGTAACATTTCAGAGAAGTTCTGAACCTGCTTTCTGATATTCCAAGGAAAATTAGGCTTCCACCATTCTAAGCTGTATGCTGGAACTTTCAAAGAGACATCAGTTTGATTCATGATGTATCATTATGATTGGCACTCCATCCACCACCCTATTCACTCCCTCCACGATCAAACAGAGCAGCAGCAATGTGTACCATCTAGAAGATGCACTGCAGTAATTCACCAAGGCTCCTTTGACAGCATCATCTAAACCTCAACCAACCAGAAGGACAAGGGTAGCAGATTATGAACTCCACCCAAGTTCCCTTCCAAGCCACAAATCATCCTAAGTAGGAACTATTTTGGACGCTCCTTCAATGTCATTAGATGAAAAGTCTGGAACTCCTTCCCTAAACCACATGGACTGTACTGATTCAAGAAGGCAGCTCACTGTCCCTTCTCAAAGGCAACTAGGTGCAATGGTACAATCGATCCGCTAGCCCTGCCAGTGATGCCTACATCCTAGGAACAAATAAAACAGAATAAATATGTCTCCAAGCAACCCTGTTAGAAGTAAAATAGTTGTACGTGGATGCTGACTCAGTGTGGGGGTAGGGTAACTCAGTTGGCTGGATGACTGGCTTACAATATAGACTCAACACCACTAGCATGGGTTCAGTTCTCACACTGGCTGAGGTTACCATTGCAGAACTCTCCTCAACTCCTCCTCTCACCTGAGACGTGGTGACCTTCAGGTTAAGCAACCATTAGTTGCTTCTCTCTAATGAGACTTTACCTTTTACTTTATGTTCTGAAGTCTACAGGGTAACGACGTATGGAAGTAAGAATTTTGGTTTCCTGTTTTAGATTTTTGATGTTGAAGTGCCTTTTCATGGTAGGGAGTGTAACATTCGTATAACAGTAAAAATGTTTGAGAAACTCAGCAGGCCTGGCTGCATCTGGAGAGAGAGAAACACAATTAATGTTTTGAGTCCAATGACTCTTCCTTGGAATTTGTTGATATCGGTGTATCATTGGTGTCCATTCTTATTGCAGAACCATAACGAAATATGTGATCCCCTGGTGAATTATAAAATACAGCCTCCACCATCTTCGCCCTCCATAGGTGAGTTGATACAGATACTACGCTGCTCGTTTACTTTGGTAAGAACTTACAAGTGGGACCCTCTGGGCTGGATGCATGACTCTGTTCTGTACATAATTTCTGACTGAATTGTCAGTGTTTTGTCCCTGTCCTGTAGCATAGCCATGGATATTAAGAAAGAGATATCACCAGAAATCTAAAGTGACAGGATCCTTTCATTCAGAATGTTTCTATGATGGACGTATACTGACTCAAAAACTGAAAAACATTTTTCAACACAAGTTATGGCCTCTGCTTATAAAGTCATGGTCTCTATGTTTTATACAAGTATTTTAATAATCTGTCTCACCATTTTCCAAGATTTGTTCATGAACAACCATTCCCCCCACTCCTGTCCCTCTTCTTGCACCCCCTTTAACAGGTATCCTTTCTTCTCATTTTACTGCATCACTTTTCTCCAATAAAGTCTGTCATATTTCTCCAGCTGTCCACATCCTTATGAAGTTTAAGATAATTTTTTTCACTGTTTATGGCACCTCCAAGTCCTGTGTCATCTGCAAATTTTGATTTATACCCTGTATCCCCTCTTTCATATCATTAACATTCAGGAACACCCCATTTTTTTATACAGAATGTGTGGGAGATACCTATCCCTCATTCAAGAGGCATAGACTATCTGAATGGGGTGTGCACACAGCTGCTGTACCTAATGCAAAAAGCTAGTCACTCAGCCCTCATGATAATGCTGCTCTGAGTCTCACACATTGCCTCTCCTTTTTTCATGGATGAGATATATGCTTCATATATCAGCGTTCAATTTGGAACGAGCTGACTCACACACACTGCCCTGTCCATTCCTCTTAAAGACCAATTTTTTTTTGAAGGATCTAAACCTCAAATTGCTTTGTTTCTCAAGTTGTTTAGTTTAAACATTCAAAGTTTTTGTTGGTGCAGAAGATGACTGAATTTTACAGAGTGCGGGAGTGCAGGGGGAGGGAGCTGTCACCTGGGTTTTGTTTGTGCATCACAATAAAGAGAACTTTTTTCATCACTGGAGCTGATTTTTATTAATGGTGCAAAAGTAACTAAACACAGTGGTTTTTCAGGGGATGATATATTTGTCGCCTTGTATAACTACGAACGAACCCATGAGGATGATCTTGATTTCAAGGAAGGTGATCAGCTAAAAGTTCTAAAACGGTAAGTTATCTGCAAGACAGGCTTCATGAGATGTCAGCAACAAATGAACAGAAAGTCTGAAATGATAAATTGGAGGAAATGAACCCACTGAAACTCCATTAGTTTCTGTAACCAAGACATTTTAGATGGAATGCTTCCAGCTCCTGTTGGCAGTGTGTTTGGCACAGAGAAGAAAGCCAGGCAATAACATGGAGTGATGTGTGAACAGCTTCCAAGGCTCAGTACTGTGCAAGGTCTCCTTTCCAGAGATTTGGGCAGCCAGTTTGCAATTTCTAAATGCTCCATTAAAAGTCTTTTTTTTAAATGGAGCCATCATATTGGGAGACCACAAGTTGATAGAGGCAACTTCCCATTGCAATGGGGTGACCATCCAAGTCTCTCTGGCCCAAAGAAGGGGCACAGAGAGAGACCTGCAAAAGGGTTTTCTCTCTACTTTTTATTCATTCTCAGGATGTGGGCGTCCCTGGCTAGGCCAGCATTTAGTGCCCATCCCCAAAGGGTATTTAAGAGTCAACCACATTGCTGTGGACCCAGAGTCATATGTAAGCCAGACTGGGTAAGAATGGCAGATCTCCTTCCCTGAATGATCTTAATGAACCAGGTGGATTTCTACTAACAATTAGCTGCAGTTTCAAGGTTTCAATTCCAGATTTTTATTGAATACAAATTCCTTCATCTGCTAAAGTAGGATTCGAACCCAGGTCCCCAGAACATTTCTGGGGTCTCTGGATTAATAGTCTAGTGATACCATAAGGCCATTGCCTCCTACCCTGAAATGGCAGTAGCCACATGCAGTAAAATCTTCGAGTCTCTCCAGTTATCAGCAGGTTTGGGACTGACCTTTCACACCATCACGCTCCTGAAGTCCACAGTTAACCTCAGGCCATAACTTCTATTCACCAATGTTTGGCAGACAAGACAAAGGAGTTCTTGATGTTAATAGGTAGACAAACAGGTAGTCTACCTTGAATTCCAGCATCTGCAATTTTTTTTGTCTCTTGATGTTAACAAACTGTTTGCTCCCTGCAAACAAACATAGAGCAAGTAAGACACACCCTATTTTCATTTTATCACAACAGCTCATCTCAGATCAGTGAGACACGGCACGCATTCATCAGCAAAAACAGGCAAACACACTGAATGCACATGAATAGAGCTTATTGATTAAATTACAATCTGTATGATTATAATCACTTTAAATGTAAGTTAGATGTAAAAACATTTTCCTATATTGTCAGAATATTTCTGGATATAACAATATGATGCAATGTTAGAAATTATTCCACAAATTGGTCACTAGCAAGATTTAAGATTGGATCTTAAAACATAATCATAAGCAAAGTACATTGGCCTCATAATTTATCTAAATACTCTGAAGAGTGAATTTTCGATAAATTGTACGGTCAAATCATTTTGAACTAAAAATAGTCATTTCCAGAACATCAAAGCCAGTCAAGAGCAAGATAACAATAAGGGTTGTGTTCATTGTTGCAATAACATTGATAGTGTACAGAAATTTATTTAGTTACATCAGATATTTGACAATATTTCACAACGTGACATCTTTGGATGTTTTGTGAAAAGAACACTAACCTGAATTATGCATATGAGATAAGATTTAAGAATAAATATTTTGCCCTAAGCTAATCAGCCAAAATGTTGTTCTATTTATTTGAGATAAAGTTTACTCAAATTCAGAACTTGTTTAAGTTCCTTACTGTAGATGGTCATTGGACCTAACAATCCATGACTGTTCTGTATGTTATTCTAGGATTGCCCTCTGAGGGGGACACTCCATATATCCCTTTAAAGGCCATGGAAGTTAGAGGGCAAAGGGTTTGGGGTGATTCCAAAGTATAGAGTTCCCACATCTCACACTTCCTCTGGGACCCTGTCTGTACAGTTCCATCTGGTGAGATGAGGCATGCTGCCTGATCTAATGGTGAGATTGTGTGGGGGAGTTTAGGGAATTTTCCTTTATTTACATTGGAGATCAGAAAAACTGAATGCAAAAATCTCTCCAAGGTTTCTGAGTAAGTTTAAAAGCAGATTAATGAGCTAAATGATTGATTCTTGTTCTGCATCCTTTTTGTTCCAATTTCATTGTTGTGATCCAAGGCAAAATAACAAACATGGCTTGTCCTCTTTGGTAGGGAGGGAGACTGGTGGAAAGCACAGTCTTTAGAGACGGGACAAGAAGGCTACATCCCATACAATTTTGTGGCACGGGCGCACACACTGGAGATTGAAACGTAAGGATCCTTTTCCTGTTGATATTTCTTATTTATTTGAATAATTTATTTTCTATTGTACTTACCAAAGGTGTGAGCTTATACCAACGGCCTGTCAGATGAAAGACTTTCCGCTCCCTTGTACACAAGTAGTAAATTTGCTTTTTATCAGTTTGAATTAATAAGCTTTTGCTTTACTCTGACATGTTGAAGTAAAATTATGGTTTTATCTTTTCCACATTGGTGTTAAATTTGTAGTTTTGATAAGATCATCTCTCAGACTTCTCTCTTCAAGGCTGAAAAGTTCAAGTTTCTTCAGTTTACCCACATAACTTTAAGACTAGGAATTTGGTTTCTGGTCAGTTCTGCATGAATATTTCCCTATTTCTGAATGACCAGTGCACATGATGTGTTCTGACCTGAATGCCACATAGTTTAATCATGACTTTGAGACTAACATTTGCAATTTTGTCTTTGCAATTCAACTTTCCGTTACCTTTCTTGATGCACTTTGCATTGGCCATTAGATATTTAGAACCTACTAAACTTTTAGATCTTGTTCAATGGTTCCTTTTTACTCTTTTTTTTTGGGATGTGGGTATCACTGGCAAGGCCAGCATTTGTCACCCATCCCTAATTGCCCCTTGAACTAAGTGACTGTTAGACCACTTCAGAGGTAGTTAAAGAATAAACCACATCACTGTGAATATTGTAAATATTCTCCAGAAAAATATTATACCAAGCTTTGCAACATTCCCTTATGTTTAGCTGGCTTGTCCTGGTTCCATGCCCTCCTGCTGTTCACCCCACCCAGGCCCTTCAAAGGAACCCAATTTTCTGATTCTCCCCCACCCATTTCGAACCTGTCAAGGCAGTAATGCTTTAATGAGAAGATGATGCAATGATTTCCTTGGCGCCCTGAGTTGTAATTATGGTCTGTATTAACTTGCATTTAGTTGATAGCCCCTGTACATTGAGTTAAATAATGAAGTGTAAAGAATCAATGTAACCAGGCAGAAACACAGACATCGGATCTCACTTGTTCAGATTGACTGTACTGTTTCTCCTGCTTTGGTTTCTCTGAAGGGATTCAGTGAGAATACAACAAAATTGTATCCAAAGGTTACTGAATGATTAAAACTTAGATGATACATGTTTTAGTCCTTTGACATTTTTAACTTATACTTTATCCCCATCTTTATCATTTGTGTGTCTATTCCCAATCTTTACCATGGTAATGAAATCATAAATATATTTGTTGGCTATGTGCTTACCTGTTTTTGCTGTTTTTGGCATTGACATCCTGACTCTGCTCCTTCCAGGAATATTAGTTCAGTTTAGGATTACAGATGCATTCCCTATTTGACTAATAATCAAGACTTTCAACTTTTCCAGATGGTTCTTTAAAGATCTAAGCCGGAAAGAAGCTGAGCGACAACTTCTGACAGCTGGCAATTCTGTAGGCTCCTACCTGATTCGAGAGAGTGAAACCACCAAAGGTATATTTTAAAAGATGACCTGCAGAGGTCATTCATTCTCCTGTGATGAATCTTTTTAAAGATACACTAACCACCGGACTATATTTTTATGCACTGACTGAAGAACACTACAAACCTGGCTTTGGATTAACCTTCATTATTGATCAGTCATAACATGTATTATATAGTAATTATAAGGTATCTCTGTAAGGAACATGGAATCTGCTGCATTCTTTCTTCAGCTGTCACACTAACATAGAAATATGAATTGAATTTCATAGAAAAGTTACAACACATAAGAAGGCCATTCAGCCCATCGTGTCTGAACCAGCTCTCTATAAGAACAATTGAGCTAACCCCATTTGACCATCTTTTCTCCTTCATCCCATAAATAATCAATCGATTCTCTTTTGAAAGCTAACATTGAATCTGCCTCCACCATACCCTCAGGCCATTCATTGCAGAGACCAACCCCTTGCTGTAGAAGTCTCCTCATTTCACCAACACTCCTTTTCCCCATCGCTTTAAACCTATAATGGTCTCTGTCTACTCTATCCAGTCACCACGTGATTTTGAACACTGCTGTCTGGTACAGTTACAACATTTTAAAGGCATCTGGATGAGTATATGAATAGGAAGGGTTTAGAGGGATAGAGGCCAAATGCTGGCAAATGGAACTACATTAATATAGGATATCTGGTCGGCATGGACAAGTAGGACCACAGGGTCTGTTTCCATGCTGTACAGCTCTATGACTCTATGACTCCAAATCTCCTCTCAGCTTCCCCCATCTAAGGAAAACAGCGCAACCTCTCCAATCTATCCATAAAACTGAGGTCTCTTACCTGAGGAACCACTGGCATGCATCTGTTTTGAACCCTCTTTAAAGTGTTCACTTTGTTCCTGAAATTTGGCATTCAGTACTGGACATGATACTCTAACTGAGGCTAAACCACCAGAGTTTTGTGTGGTTTACCATAATTTCCTTGTTTCTCTACTCCACACCTTCATTTATAAAGCCAAGGATTCTGTTTATATTATTAATTGCTGATTTATCTTATCCTGCCAACATCAACAATTTGTGCAATTCTCAGTTGGGTTGGAGGGGATTCTGAGAGATAGGATTTAATGCATTTGGAGAGGCAAGGACTGATTAGGGATAGTCAACATGACTTTTTGCATGGAAATCATGTCTCACTAACTTGATTGAGCCTTTTTCAGGATGTAACCAAAAAGATTGATGAGGGCAGAGTGGTAGACATCGTCAATGTGGACTTTAGTAAAGCCTTTGACAAGGTTCCGCATGGGAGACTGATTAGTAAAGTTAGATCATATGGGACTCAGGGAGAGTTTGCCAGTTGGGTACAAAGTTGACTTGATGATAGGAGACAGAGGGTGGTGGTGGAGGGTTGTTTTTTGGACTGGAGTCCTGTGCCCACAGGGAACAGTGCTGGATCCACTTTTGTTTTTCATTTATATAAATTTAGATGAGTGTTTAGGAAGCATGGTTAGTAAGTTTGCAGATGACACCAAAATTGGTAGTATAGTCAACAGTGAAAGTTTTCCAAGATTACAAAGGGATCTTGATCAATTGGGTCAATGAGCTGAGGAGTGACAAATGGAGTTTAACTTGGATAAATGCAAGGTGTTGCATTTTGGTAAAACAAACAAGGGCAGGACTTATACAGTTGATGGGAGGGCCCTGGGGAGTGTTGTCAAATAGAGAGACCTGAGGGGGAGGGGATGGTAGTCAGGTACACAGTTCTTTGAAAGTTGCATCACAGGTCGATACGATGCTTAAGAAAAGTGTTTAGCACATTTGCCTTCATTGCTCAGACCATTGAGAATAGGAGTTGGGATGTCATTTTGAGATTGTACAGGACATTGCTGAGGCCATGTTCGTAGTACTGTGTACATTTCTGGTGGCCCTTTGGAAGGATATTATTAAATTAGAGAGGGTTCAGAAAGATTTACCAAGATGTTGCCAGGACTGGAGGGTTTCAGCTTTAAAGAAAGGCTGGGTAAGCTGGGACTTTGAGGTTTATAAAATCATGAGGGGCATAGATAAGATGAATGGCAAAGGTCTTTTTCCCTGGGGTGGGTGAGTTCAAAACTAAGAGGCGTATTTTTAAGGTGAAAAGAGAAAGATTTAAAAGGGATCTGAGAGGCAGGGTGGTTCGTAATTGGAATGTACTGCCAGAGCAAGTACTAGTACAGGTACAGTTCCAACATTTAAAAGACATTTGGATAGGTACACAAACAGGAAAACTTTAGAGGGTTCTGGGCCAAATGCAGGCATGTGGGACTAGTTCAGTTTGGGAAACTTGATCTGCGTGAACATTGGACTGAAGGGTCTGTTTCCATGCTGTATGACTCTATAATAATGCATTGAAAAATTGATTTTCATTTTGAGAATTGAAGATCTTTGCTGTTCTATTTATCTCATTTTAAAACAACTTTTAAACAAGCTTAAAAATAATCATTTGAGAAATGAAACTTGTGATCAATGTTTGACTCATATGCAGAGAGGGATAGTTACCTGGTAGATGTCCACATTTTTTACAGGGCTGAATATTTTCAATTATACTAAAGACAGAAAATCCAAAGGTCATTGACCTGAATATTAACTCTGTTTCTCTCTCCACAGAGGCTGCCAGGCCTGCTGTGTTTCTGTTTTTTAGAGATTTCCAGCATCTGCAGCATTTGGCTTTGTTTCAATGATTCCAAACCTAAATCTTTTTTCAGGTTTCATCATTATTACCATCATTTGAATCTTCATTTAGACACAGTATTTGAATTATTTGCTCCTGCATGTTATGGGACGTGAAGAAATGCAGGCACCTTTCAATACAGCATTAGAAATAAAACACTTGCTTTTAGTCTGTTTTATTTTTGCACCTGACAGTTATTGCAGTACTTTCTGAGTTGCCTATTTCATATCAAATGTGATGATACATTGCTCATATGTTCAATATTCCTTTTTGCAGCACCTGAGTTTTTCTAAATTATAATAACAGGAAATACAGGTAGCCATTCCACTGCTCTGAAATTCTGGGGCTTTCTTGAGCTGAACAATTTCTATCTGAATTTATATCTGCTCCAGCTCAGGCAGAATATACTTGTTGAAAGGCACATATTTCTGGGAAAACCTGGAGATCTCATGGTGTCCTTGAACCTGTGACTCTCCCAGATTCGAGGGTCTGGAGGAGATAGACAACCATCCCAAATGTTCAAAGGGCTCTCTGGTCCACAGCTGGTTCTAACCTTGTCCATACACAGTGGTTAACACTGCTGCCTCACAGCACCACGGTCCCAGGTTCAATTCCAGCCTTGGGCGACAATCTATGTGGAGTTTGCACATTCTCCCTGTGTCTGTGTGTGTTTTCTCCGGGTGCTCTGGTTTCCTCCCACAGTCCAAAGATATGCAGTAAGGGTGGCTTGGCTGTGGGAAATGCAGGGTTACAGGGATAGGTAGGGGGATGGCTCTGGGTGGGATGCACTTCAGAATGTCCATGTGGAATTTGATGGGCTGAATAGCCTGCTTCCACATTGTAGGGATTCTATGCTGTAGATACCAACAACTGATTCAAACAGCCTGAGCCCTGACAGGGCCAATGTCCAGTAGGGGCAGGAATATCAGTGTTATATCCATAATATTATCATTGATCAAAAACTGCTGCAACTAATATTTTGCACTTGGTGACCATTTATCTGTCTGGGCTGTAAGTTCTGGAATTCTCTTCCTAAGGCCCTCTGTCTCTTTACTCCTGAAAGATCCTTCTATCTCCTTCTTTGGCCTAGCTTCTTGAAGCTGTCATTAAATCAAAGCCAAAGTATAAATACAAATTGTCGATTTTGGGAAGCCTGTGTATGAATCAGGCATTAGATCGGGAGAGAATCTTTTTGCTGACCTGAAGGAAATCCCATAAGTGCAGGGTAAAAATTTCTCTGTTTTACTCAAGAGCACGCCTTCAAATCTCCAATGTCTGTTTCTTTCCATCTACCACCATATCCTGACTCATTCTGTCTTGACAAAATACCCAGTTGAGTAAAATTTTATGCAAAGTTAAGGTTGATTTTTATGTGTGGTCTTATACCCACAAAGATCACAATACTGGAGCTCACATGTGGCCCTCAGAGTGAGACATTTCTGAGACAAATGTTCAAATCTGTTTGATTGCGTTATTGATGATATTTCGCAGCAGGAAGCAAACTTCTCACATTGTATTTTAACTCTTATTTCTCTTGAATGCAGGTTCTTATTCACTGTCTGTAAGGGACTTTGATTCACAACAAGGGGACGTGGTAAAGCACTATAAGATTCGCTCTTTAGATAAAGGAGGCTATTACATATCGCCACGGATAACTTTCAATACTCTTCACGAGCTGGTGAACCATTACTCATGTAAGTTTACTACTGGCTGAGTACCCATTTTCACAACAATTCATATGTGGAAACCATCTCGACAAATTAATGGCATGGTCAGAAGAAGACATTTGAAGTTCTTCAATTATTCATGGCACTGAGTTTGAGCTCATGTGAAAATATCAGTGAAGGTCACAGTTGTGACTGAGTACCATTTCCCTGTCTTGTGGAATTGGGTGGATGAGGTGGTCAGCCTGTGATTACTGACAGGATCAAAACTGGCACAATTTCAAAATTGTCAGAAGATGTAAAAGGCAGACGCATTGCAAGTTGCGAGGAAGATAGGATCGAATCTCAACAAGATATAGATAGAGAGTGGGTGGATGGACAGATAGACTGAGATGAAATTGATCTTTGGATGAATCTCTTGATACTGTGAAAGCCAGAAGCTGTGGATATTTGAACATGTGGGGACCAAAAGAGGTCCAAGGGGTTGTCACATTGACTGTTCTAAAATGTTAGCAACATTCAATTCTGCCTAGGAATAAGGATGAGCTTGTTGTAAGGTTTTTAATAGGTCACTCCAACCATTCAAGAATTACTGAATAGTCATAAAACCAAAAGAGCTTGCAAAATGGGAACTGAGGTAGGCCATTCAGCCCCTTAAACCTGCTTTGTCATTCAATAGGATCATAGTTGATCTGATATTCCTCGCATCCTCTTTCCTGCTCTTTCCCTGTAACCCTTGAACCCCCATCGTTCAAGAATCAATCTCAGCCTTAAATATACACAAGGACTCTGCCTCCACAGCTCTCTGTGGCAAAGAGTTCCAAAGACTCTCAACCCTCTGAGACAAGAAATTCCTCCTCGTCTCAGTCTTAAATTGGCACCCCTTTATTCTGAGATTATACCCTCTGGTCGTAGGCTCTCCCATGAAGGGAAACATCATCTCAGCATTTACCCTGTCAAACCCCTTCAGAATCCTATATATTTCAATCAAATCGCCCCTCATTCTTCTGAACTCCAATGAGTAGACTCCCAACCTGCTTATCTTTTGCTCATAAGACTATGCCTCCATACCAGGGATTATCCAAGTAATCCTTCTCTGAACTGCCTCCATTGAAATGATATCTTTCCTTAAATAAGGGGACCAAAATTGCTCACAATACTCCAGATGTGGTCTTACCAGTACCTTGTACAATTACAGTAAAATTTCCCTGCTCTTATACTCCAACACCTTTGAAATAAGGGCCAACTTTCCATTCGCCTTCCTGAATACCTGTTGCACCTGTTGGCTAGCTTTCTGTAATTTTTGTACAAGAACCCCCAAGTCCCTTTGTGTTGCACCTCTCTACAGTTTTTCTCCATTTAATTAATATGCTGCTCTTTTGTTCTCTCTTCAAAAATGAACAAATTCACATCTTTCCACATTATAGTCATTTGCCAATATTTTGCCCATTTATTTAACCTATTAATATCTCTCTGTAAACTGTTTGTATCCCTCTTGCAATCTGCCTATCATCTAATTTTGTATTATCTGCTGAGAGTTTTAGTTAATTGGATGGAAGCTTAAAGAGGAAAAGGTGCTAAATTTAGGTTTCTAGTCAGTCAGGTACTTAGGGGCAGCGTGTAGGCTCCATTCCAAAAAGGTGTTCCCGCAGTGTGTTCTTAGCTATTATAAATCAGGACAAGTCTGGGGAGCCAGGAGGTGCAGCTAAATTTTGGTGGCTTGGTGACGGGATACCAGCCTCTGTGGATTTATTTCAGCCACCATCCTGTGATTTTATCAGCATCATGAGGTTTCTGGACAGAGTAGATAAGAAGAAGCTGTTTCCATTGGTGAGAGGATCAAGAACCAAAGAAAGCAGATTTAAGGTAGTTGGCAAATGTAGCAATGGTGACATGAGAAAAATCTAGTTTACACACCAATGGCAAGGCTCTGGAATGCAGTATGTGAGAAGATGGAGGAGGTAGGTTCAGTTGAAACTTGGTTCAGGGGAAGCTGTGGAAGATGAGGATATTGGACAGAGACTGAGTGCCATTAATTGGTCAGTGCAATTGAAAGTCAGAGTAAATGAAGCCCACAATTGGTATTTGCTGTACAACTGAGCATGGTTATAGCTCAGAGGAACAGAGGCTGTACCATCTTAGTGAAGATAGTTGTCAAATAAAAAACTGAAAGTGTGCCTGTGAGTAGACACTGGAGCTCAGTTCCAGAATCCAGGGGAGTGTTGACTTGAATGGGAGAGTGTACTATCAGAACATGAGTAATCGTTGAGGCTGTCTGTGATGGAACAGCTTTTGAGAGAGTTTCAAAATTAGGTGTTCAACAGTGAAGAATTGGAAAGCCTTGTAAAGTTTTAATGAGATTTGGTGACCCACAATCTCACTAACACCTAGGCGGGGACAGTGGGTTTGGGGCAAGGATGTTGCTGTAAAATCCACAGAATTTTGATTGCATTTGCTATTTGTTGTGCCCTGTGAAGTGTTTGACCATAGTTTGTCTGTTATCCATATTTACCTCATGTTTGTTCTGGATGCTGGAGTATAAGTTATATAGATGTTGTAGGTAGTATACTTTATTAAATTTGTTTTGTAAAGTTTTTGTCTTTTGTTTGAAACCATACAATCTTGTGGCTTTATTCTCTTAGTATGTTCATTGGATCTTACAATTTGACAACTTTAAAAATAGAACCCTAGCCAGATTGTAACATATATTTGGTGATTTGGGTCCAGAATCACAGCAAGTGGCAGTTGAACTTTAATGCAGAGAAATGTGAAGTGATTCATTTTAGGAGGAAAAATGTGGAAGGACAATAAAGGGGGTGCAGGAGTTCAGAAACATGGATGTATATATGTATATATCATTGAAGGTGGCAGGACGGACTGAAAGAGCAGTTAAAATGAATACAGCATTCTGGGTTTTTTTTTTCAATAGAGTAGAGAGTACAGAATTAAGGAATCTTAATTATCCCATATCACACACTAGTTCAGCTTCAACTGAATTACTGTGTGCCGTTCTGGCCACCATTCTTTAAAAAGGTATGATAAGGTTTTGGAGACAGTGCAAAAGAAAAGGAAATCACAAGAATGATTCCAGAGATGAGGAACTAAGTTATGTAGACAGATGGTTGGAGAAGTTTAAGTGGAGTTTTGGTAGCCAAAATAATTGAAGACATTGCCTGCCTTTCCAAAAATGTCTTGTTCTTTGATGTCAGTCAGGCAGAACCTATTGCTGTTACCAAACCACAATAAACAAAGAGGATTGATCCACCATTTACTGAACATTAGGTTCAATCATAAACTTTTGAAATCAAAGCTTTCAAAATTAACAGGCTAAGTATCTGAAGAGAAAAGAGTTGCCCGGCCTATGGGGAAAGGGAATGGTATTCACTGAATTACTGGTGCAGAGAGTTGGAATAGACTTGATGGCCTTAATGGTCTCATGTTATGTTGCAACTGCAGTGATTGTAACGAGGTCATCCAGGTGCACCTCATAGAATATGAGTTCCCTGATTGGGGCTGTTAGTGTGGTCCAATCAGGGAGCCCTGGCTGACAGATATAAATATCAGTGTCAGAGGTTCTGCTCACTCTGAGAGCTGACTCTGAGGGAACGGTATCAGTGCCAAGGACTCTCCACATGTAAATAAAGGGTGACTTGGTGACGGGATACCAGCCTCTGTGGATTTATTTCAGCCACTATCCTGTGATTTTATCAGAATCATGAGGGTTCTGGACAGAGTAGATAGGAAGAAGCTGTTTCCATTGGTGAGAGGATCAAGAACCGAAGAAAGCAGATTTAAGGTAGTTGGCAAATGTAGCAATGGTGACATGAGAAAAATCTAGTTTACACACCAATGGCAAGGCTCTGGAATGCAGTATGTGAGAAGATGGAGGAGGTAGGTTCAGTTGAGACTTTCAAAGATGAATATAGCGATCTACCTGGAGAAGATGGGCAAGACACACAAGGTGAGTTGACTCGTTACAGAGCCCGCTCTGGCATGAAGTGTTAATGATCTCCTCTGTGCTAAAGCCCCATTCTGTGATTCTATGATTCTTGTCTTTTGACATTTTTATGTTTACTGACTCTGAATGGGTCTGAGCTTCAGGCCACTGACTTGTTGGTGCCAAAGTTAAATGTAAAAATTCTGGCCTAATTCCAGGACAGTACCACAATGATCAGGGATATTGAAGACCCTCATAGAACCAAATTGGTCATCCTGGTATAGTGGTGGTCCAGGAATGACCAGAAACACACTACGTGAGTTTCAAACAAAACTTTAATATAAGCAGAATCATTGTGAATTGAGAGAAGTAGAAGCTGTGCCTTTTCCTCTCTTCTCTGTTCCATCCTCTCCCAAGCCCTGGCCTCATCTCTTCCTCCAATGACCAATGATAACTGTGTCCCTTCCACAGCACAAACCTTACACTGAGAACCATTCTCTTTGGTCTGTAGTGACACCCAAATCTCAGCTCAATTCCCACTACTGCCTGTCTTCTATGACGTGATCCATATGAGCATAGCACAGGAGGTACAGGCTCAATGGGCTGTAGGGACCCTCCTATACTGTATGGATCTATGAGGAGACAGTTTTTGAAATATACATGAAGTCTGCCCATTAAAAGTGTATTGGCTTTGCCATAGGAACAGGAGTAGACCATTCAGCCAACTGAGCCTGCCCTGCTATTCAGTTTGACCATGAGTCTGAACACCTCCCTCAATGCCACCTTCCTGCACTATCTCCATATTGGTTTATGTCATTGGTCTCCAAAAACCAATTGATTTCCACTTTGAACATGCTCAGTGGGTCTCTCATTCTGGTTTCCTTTCAAGCCATCATGATTGTATTGTTTTAATTATTGAAATTGCCAACGCACAGATTGTTGAGTTACTGTGTGATTCTCTCTGCTGCAGATAACACGGATGGTTTATGTCAGTGCTTGAAGAAACCATGTCAAACTCAAAAGCCACAAAAACCATGGTGGCATGATGAATGGGAGGTCTCCAGAGACACGCTGACACTGGTGGAGAAGTTGGGCTCTGGGCAGTTTGGAGAAGTTTGGATGGGTATGTGAAGATGCAAATTATAGCTTCTTGCTTTTGATTGTTTTGAAAAATTTCATTATCCTGATCATCACATGTCTGGGTGCACATAATTGCAAATAATAACAGCTGTGTGCATTATTAACAAGGACTGAATCCAAATAATTTATAAACAAAATAAACTCACCAAGTTATCATCCTGGGTACAGCTAAGCTCTAAATGTAATATGAACCTAATTACCTTTTCAACACAGGCACGAAATGCATTGGGAAATGGCAAACTCTTTGCGAGTCATTCATTCTAATGAACGGACTAATATGACATTAATAGTTCATCAGTTAGCTACCATAGTCATTCAGCTTTGGCCTGCTTTCATTTCCCCCAGTTCCTTTTTCCTTTTAGGGATACACTCTCCAAAGCATCCATCATTTGGTAAAATAATTAAAGAGTGTCCTTAAGGCTGAAGTGGTTCAGGGCTGGATAAGATTAATGTTACTAATTATAGCATATTCAGGAGACATAGAGGGGGGAAAATGAGCAAGTGATCTATGCGGAGAATTCTAACACAGTATAAGCTGAAATGGATTGTGTTAAAACAGGATTCATGTCAAAAGAATCTGCAAGGAAAATTATTCAATTTTCTATGTAAAAGATTACCAAACAGAGGGCAGGACCTGCAGACAGAATAATAGGGCAGCTATGTTGGGGCATTTTAACTAGAATTGACAGTTGAGTATAAAGTGAACACATAGTCAAATGGTTTGTGGAAGCTGGGCTGTGTGTTGCAAACAACATCAAAGTGCATTTAGAGATAGTAGGAACTGCAGATGCTGGAGAATCTGAGATAACAAGGTGTAGAGCTGGATGAACACAGCAGGCCAAGCAGCATCATAGGAGCAGGAAGGCTGACGTTTCGGGCCTAGACCCTTCATCAGAAATGGGGGAGGGGAAGGGGGTTCTGAAATAAATAGGGAGAGAGGGGGAGGCGGACAGAAGATGGATAGAGGAGAAGATAGGTGGAGAGGAAACAGACAGGTCAAAGAGGCGGGGATGGAGCCAGTAAAGGTGAGTGTAGGTGGGGAGGTAGGGAGGAGATAGATCAGTCCAGGGAGGATGGACAGGTCAAGGGGGCGGGATGAGGTTAGTAGGT